ATAGAAAGCTGTTATGGATGGACATGAAAGAATATTTTTTTAATTAATGTCAATTAATTAAATTGAATGCACTATAGAAAAACAAATATTAAACGATGATAACGACGCCCCTTAACTAGTTGTAGTGAAAATGATTAAATAAATTTCTAATCTAGTGTATCTAGTGTACCTCATTTCTAGAAATTAACAGTAAGCAATAAATGCGACGAAATACCTAGGTGGATTGAAAAGTACTCGGCCTAACACAGATCCATTCAATTCTAAAAATCAAATCTACCCACATTATATAGTTCAGTTCAGACTAGTTCATTGTGTGAAGTTCGAAACGTGTGCGATAATTAGTTGTGATTTTATAAATTTATTAACAAAGTAATCGGACATAATTTCCGCGAATGGAGCAAATCGAGCAGCGTGCCGTCATTAAGTACCTCCATAAGAAGGGGCTATCATCAAAAGCCATCCATGATGACATGGTCAGTACATTAGGCGATTGTGCTCTGTCATATTTATCCGTCAAAAAATGGATAGCAGAATTTAAGCGTGGTAGAGAGAGTGTGAAAGATGAACCCCGCTCTGGAAGGCCTTCGACGTCAACTACTGACGAAAATATTAAAAAAGTACTTGATTTAATAATGGGAGATCGCAGATTAAAAATTAGAGAGATAGCCGAGATTATAGGAATCTCTTATGAATGAACTCAAAACATCATTGTCAACGAGTTGGGTTTCCACAAGGTGTCTGCGAGGTGGGTTCCGCGACTGCTTTCAGTTGAACAAAAAAAGGACGCGATTGACTATTTCACGCGACTGTTTGGAGTTATTTGAAGCCGATGCAGATGATTTTTTGAATCGTTTTGTTACTATGGACGAAACATGGGTTCATTACTGTACACCGGAAACAAAACAACAATCAAAACAGTGGAGAAGACCTGGTTCACCACCCCCTAAAAAAGGCTAAGTCGATTTTGTCGGCAAATAAGGTGATGGCTTCAGTATTCTGGGACTCGAAAGGTGTGATTATGATAGATTATCTTGAAAGGGGTCAGACTATAAACTCTGATTACTACTGCACCTTACTACGTCATTTACAAGAGGAAATAAAAGAAAAACGTCGAGGAATGCTCAGAAGAAAAGTCCTGTTTCATCAAGATAACGCCCGTGTTCACACGTCAGTACAGTCAATGGCTGAAATTCACAACTGTGGCTTTGAACTGTTACCGCATCCGCCGTATTCACCTGATCAGGCACCATCAGACTTCTTTCTGTTCCCTAACCTAAAAAAGCACTTGGGAAGTCAAAGATTTTCGACAAACGACGAGGTCAAAGCAGCTGTAGACGCATATTTTGACTCTAAGGGAAGAATCATTTTTTTCAACGGTCTAAATGCTTGAAAGGGGGAGGTGGCGAAAGTGTATTGAACTTGATGGTGATTATGTAGAAAAATAAAAATATAACTGATTTAGTATGTGTTTATTTTCTTGGTTAGGCCGAGTACTTTTCAATCCACCCTCGTACCCATAGATAAATTTTGTGTTTTGAGTTATCTGTTTCGAATTCAAACTAGTAATAATCTAGAGTCTAGATAATTACTAGTTGTCTAGATTCTAGACAAAACCGTTAATTATATCTAATTTTAAAGAATCCATATCGATTTTTCTTAAGAATCGAATATTATAAGTACCAATTTTTCTGTTTAAATGACTAATCCAATAAATGTGATGGCTTTCAAAAGGTATTTCTTCGATTTGGTGGAGTATAGCCCATAAACTACTACATTGAATTAAGTAAAAATAAATTATTATCATGTAAGGATTTAATAATGTTATATTGACAAATTAAGGTAAGAAATACATTCAAAAAGACAAAATCATTAAATCAAAGAAAATATAAAAATATATTCACTGAAGAGAATCGTCAAAAACTTCCTAAATCGTTGAATAATTGATCAAAAACCTCGCCGTCTCTGTTTGTTCGCAATAAAATTATTACTCTTATAACGCTTACAAGAAATTGACTGTATTTAATTGACAATATTTCTTTCATTCCAGCTTAGAGCCGCGGGAAGAAGATAGTTCGTCCTTAGTAATTTTCAAACAAGCATACGAATACGGTCAACATTCTCATAGTGGTATTAATTACTGCAGAAAAAAGTATCCAATGTGTCCCTTTCAGAGTTCTTTACTTATCGATCTCATCAAGTATTTGCTCCGTCATCATTATACAATTGAATAATTCCACCTTCTTCATCTTGACAAATGTTTTTATGGAGGCCCCTTCAGAAATATTATAAATGAATACATATTGCAATAAAATACATTATTTAAATAATTATCTTTAAATTCATAAATTTATGAGTATAATTAAGCAGGTGACATATTTTAACTCTACAGTGCGGATGTGATGAATGTTTCAGGTTCTCGAACTTGCAAATTGTATCATTGTGGTTATTTGTACTCAACTATGTGTTATCCGAATAACCCTTAATACATTTTTTTTGGATCCAAATATTTAGAAACGATGGTAGAAGACGTGACGGTATAACTTTCGTGGATTTTAACCAATGACTTTACCTCTCACCCAACCTTCATCTCCTTTACAACCTCAGGAGTCACGAGTACCTCGTTGAGGGCCAAAAAGACATTAGTGACTGTTTAACTGTGTGTGGTTGAGTGGCGCAAATATGATGTAGATATGGATATGATAAGAGAGGATATATATCGACGCCCCCAAGCAAAAAACCGGTATTGTTTTATTATGGAGTTTATACTGTTATGTCATTTGAAATACATATTGTTAATTTTTTTAGAGTTTTTCTAGCTTTATTTAAGGAGATATAATAATTAACAATTTTACTGTAAAGACGTTCACAATCTTGTTAATGACCTAAAAAGGATCGTATTGGTAATAATACAAAATCAAATCAAAATATATTTATTTCATCAAAAAACGTATATACATACAATATTAATTGTTGGAGCTGCCTAGTAAACATATATATATATATATATATATATATATATATATATATATATATATAATATGTATATACTTGTGGCAGGCAGCTCCGCCCTTTCATGATGCTTACATACTATACATTGGATGTTTCGATCTTCCTTAAATCCAGAATTTTAATTTACAAAAGAAAACTATTGTCATAAATTATAATTTTTAGAATAGGAAACTAGAGCTGAAAACATTTTAAATTAAGTTTTATAATATTTAAGAACAGAGGTAATATGGAAAAGATAATATAACAGAGATATAAATACAACTGTCGCATAGACCTAAAAAATACATATCTTACAACCACTAATTCACACTGAGAGAAGATCTTCTGTGTCAGTATAACATAGTGGCTGCAACCAATCAAATAATTTATTTTTACAATCTCTTAATTTTAAAGAGTATATTTCAATGATTTTATTAAAAAAAATTAAAAAAAGAGAACAGTTTGCAATATATATATATATAAATATGTATATATATACGTACTAGCTTGCCAGGCAGACGTTGTTCTGCCCTTTTCGATGACCGATTTGTCATGTCCTATTAAAAATCTTTAAATTCGCGAAAAAAATTGTGGATCACTCATGTACAAAAAAAAAACAATTCTATCTCTCAAGTTGGACCAAACTGCACACGGTGAGCAAATTTGATTAAAATCGGAGTAGTTTAGGAGTCCATATATACAATATATATATATATATATATATATATATATATATATATATATATATATATATATATATATATATATATCTCGACTCATCCGTAGAATAAAGTCCGATCTGTAGTGTTGATAGTTTTCAGTAGAGGCTGGAGAAGTTTTTAACTTGTGCAACTCTTTAACGGTGAGACTTAACATTTAGATTTTTTGATATGTTGTAACAACGCCCTAGCCTAGTGTAATGATATGTAGTGTATATTTATGCAAAAACAGCGGGGTCCGTATCGAACATCATACGTTGTTTTACGGAGACGTCTGAATTAAGTAGTGGTCTATATTGATATGGGTCATTTTTTGTTGGAATTACTCAACCCTTATGAGTCCTTTGTGAATATCCACCTTAAAATATTTAAACATAATGTTAGCTTTATTATGACTAACCCTATATAACTAAATAAAAAGTGAAATTATTATTTAAAACCGTTTATTAAAAAAAATCAAAATAGATAACAGAATCATTAGATAGAATATCACTTTCAACAGCAATCATATCACAGTTAGGTATGGACTTAAAATTTATAAAATTATAAAACTACAGATCTATGTCAGTATTATAACAATTCAGAAGACGCGCGTGAAGAATCTTAAACTTTGTGTTAGTTATAAAATCAACAGTAACACAATTATTTGTTTAAATAAAATTCCGTCTTTATAGTTTTACCTATTAGACCTTCATGACCTAGACGAGATTATATTATATAACAACAATTAAACTGTACAAATACCTAAAACTGCGTTTTCGGCGTAATAGTTGAATCATAATGTAGTAATTAAATGGCTTATCGTATCATAACATGGTAACTAGGTAACCTACACAACTATGCACGGACTTAAGAGAAAATATAGGCGGAGAGACTATTCTAAATAGATATTGTCATAAACCAAGAAAAAAACAGGGGAGAGCGTTTCTATGGAGAAAAAACCACCCGCATTTCCTCTTAAACTAGCAGTCTTAAACTTATAAAATGTACGTAAATATTAACATAACAATGAAAAATATATGATATGAATATTAAGATATTTAAACTTCGAACTAGTTATTTAATTCAAAATAAATCATATTACAACCAGCCTGCATAATATTATAAATCAGTCTTACATCGTGACCTAGACGTGGGTGCACATACTTAATAGCAATGGCATTGTACGTAGACAAACATTAAATGACTTAGTTAAATACTTATTATAATTAACATTGTTTCGTTAATTCAGTAAGAACAATACAGCTCGAAAAAAAGCAGCAAAATATGGAAATAGTGTATCTAAAATATTCCTTATTCCGATAGATTATCATCCGATTCTTCAGAAACATCAACGTTGGTGTGATGTGGCAAAGAGTTAAAGTATGGATGATACTCTGAGGGAATTACTTCTGAGCGGCACATATCTATCAAGTCTTTATGTTTAGCAGCAGGAACCATAATAGGCTCGGAATATGCAGGTTTTAGTTCAGTTTGTACCGAGTTTCTCGTGTTACTGCGAATCAATAAAATATTATAATCAAACTCAGACAGGTCATATTTAAAAAACAATTTGTTTGGATCACTACCATCTGCATGAACTTCTCGAATGTTACTCCAGTTAATCTTCTTGCTCTTAATGTCGTTCATCCAAACCTTATTATTTACAAGACATTTAAAGTCAAACACGTCATTCTGGGTTACGTTGCGTACAACATAGGGTTCTCCATCATTCTTGGCCCATCTTACTAATAAACGCCATTCATGAGGGGTGTAGATAGTTTTGGTTTGAGAAGCTCTCTCGATGACAGAGTGGACACTATCCCCCTCATTTTGGGTATGTCCCTTCTCTAAAAACCGGTGTGTTATGCATATGTTGAACATTTTTGCGGCGTAAACGTACAGTGAAAATACAAAGCGGTTACGATTTTGCCCAGCACAATTGTCTGACCAAAAGCGAAACTCTTTGGCTCCTTGGTCAACATTACTCTGGATAAAATTTAAGAGGCAACTGCTTACCTCATTTGTGCCACGTTTTGCCACAGATTCATCCCACATATAGCAAATGGATTTCCTTTTCCCCATGTCAAAAACCGTGAAATTAAAAGAAGATAGCTTTCTCTTATAGTAAAATATGTTTATATTGCCATGAAGACACTGCAATACTTTTTCGAAATCAAATACAGCAGTAACCATTTTTCCTTTTGACTCTTCTGCGTTTTTTTTATCTTGGCTCTTTAAATCCCTTGCGACCTTTTTATTAATCTGGTACTGTCGAAAAGATTATTTTTCTTGGTCTGTTGGGTTATTTTTCAACCGGAAAACGTGACATTCGTTGCACTGATCCTTTTTGGGAATATGGAAAGCTAGATTGAAGTATAAGTTGACAATATCACGATACTGGCGTTCTTTTGTAGCGTTAGAGTATTTTTCAGGGTCAAACCATTCAAGATACAATTTGAACATCTTAGCAATACTTAAGTCTCCTTTTAGGTAGAGCTTTTGGCTATTCTTGCGTATATAATGCGATTCAACAGGGACGAATGCCCTAACATGGCCACAAATACTATGTTTCATTGCGTCATTTTTAACTTATTGTCGTGGCGACCCCGTCTGTCCTCCTCTAAAATAGCACTTCCATCGTACTTCTTCCACGCAGTCTTTAAGATACGAGTTGAAACGGCGAGAGTATTAATAAGCATAGTTTGGCATACTTCAGCTTTCTTACAGTGAGATTCGCTAGAACCTGTAATCAGCGGCAGATAATACTTAAAAGTATGTTTCGTATTATTAGGAATATCTTGATTCATACATCTTTTCTTCTTCATTTTATCCGAATATTTGATAATGAAATTCCACTGCATAGCTCGATCTCCCAGTTGCCAAAATTTTCTGAAGCAGTCCAACCGCATTTGATGAGATATTTTATCAGGGCATTTGTAACGGCATTTGCATGATGGCCCCATCGTTTTATCGCCTACGGTTTTACCCTTTTTCGTTCCATATTTCCTACCTAAGTTCTTAAGACATTTGCGTTTAAAATCTGTCCATTCTTTTGGGCACCTCAGTCGTTTTCTAGTCGTTTTAGGAGTCACGGTTCGATCGTTTGAGTGCGAAGTAGCAGGTGAATTCGTGTTGCTAAATGACAACGAAGAAATTATAGAGGAACTGTCTACATGATTAGGGCAAAATGTGCTATCGCAGATCGAATGCACATTAGTAGGAGACGGCATAGGAGTAAGCACTGACAGTTCTAAATTAACCGGGGTAGATCTGTGGTCAGAAACTTCTAACAGCTCATCAAGCTGTATTAATGGTGAATTTTCGAAACTAGAAGACACTTCCAAGGAAAACCTACTAGGTTGATTGCTGTAAACATCAATAGCAGACAGATCAGACATGACATTCAGTATTGAGCTGTCGCAGGTGATTTCATTTGTCCCACCATCTTCATGCAGAACTTCTTCCCATACATCAGCTAGTTTCTGACTGATTTCTTCTGCACCGGAAGGCAAAGGTGATGTTTGTTGTGTCATGCCGTTGTCATCAACATTCATAGCTGAAGTTAAAAAAAACTATATTATTTTAGGTATTGATAAAATACTATTTATATTATGTATTTTGCAAGACAACGCAATTAATTTAACAAATGTTTACTAAAAAAACCCTTATATTTAACGATATATTTGAACGAATAACGTCTTAACTAATCTCATTTTTCCAATAACAATGTCCTATCTTAATAACGAACCAACAAATCATGACACATATACCGCAGAAAAACGTCTTATATTTACATGAAACGCTTAGAAATTCAATAATGTTCGTATTAATCCGTCCCAACATTTCATAGGACTTCTACTTTTTACTGTTTATTATAAGAGAAAGTCTTATCCGACACTATTCCGATGATATCCCGGACGTCAGTCTAAGCGAGATTAGAATGGCTCTCCAGCACCTTAAAAACGGCAGGGCCCCAGGCGAGGATGGAATTACAGCGGAGCTTCTGAAAGCGGGTGGAACACCGGTACTTGAAGTCCTTCAGAAGCTCTTCAATTCCGTCCTCCATGGTGGCACTACTCCAGAGGCGTGGAGCAGAAGTGCGGTGGTCTTGTTCTTTAAGAAAGGCGACAGCGCTCTCTGAAAGAACTACAGACCGATTTCCCTTCTGAGCCGCGTCTACGTGCTGTTTTCGAGAGTCATTACGAATCGTCTCGCACGCAGACTTGACGACTTCCAGCCTCCCGAACAAGCCGGTTTCCGAAAAGGCTTCAGTACCATAGACCACATACATACCCTGCGGCAGATTGTACAGAAGACTGAAGAGTACAATCTGCCACTTTGCCTGGCGTATGTGGACTATGAGAAAGCCTTTGATTCCGTCGAAATTTGGGCGGTGCTACAGTCCCTTCAGCGGTGCCAAGTTGACTGTCGGTATATCGAAGTGCTGAAGTGTTTGTACAGTAGGGCTACGATGGCTATCCGAGTACAGAACCAGAGCTCGAAACCTATCCAACTGCAGAGAGGTGTAAGACAGGGTGACGTTATATCCCCGAAACTCTTCACCGCTGCATTGGAAGACGTTTTCAAGCTACTGGACTGGAAAGGATACGGTATTGACATCAATGGCGAGTACATCACTCACCTTCGATTTGCCGACGATATAGTCCTTATGGCAGAATCGCTGGAGGACTTAAGCACTATGCTCAATGACCTCAATAGTGCCTCCCAACGGATAGGTCTTAAGATGAACATGGACAAAACAAAGATCATGTTCAATGTCCATGTCACACCTATGCCGGTAGTTGTTGGGAGCACTATGCTCGAAGTTGTTGACGAATACGTTTACCTGGGACAAATAGTCCGACTAGGTAAGTCCAACTTCGACCGAGAGGTCAATCGACGGATTCAACTCGGCTGGGCAGCGTTCGGGAAATTACGGCATATCTTTTCGTCAGGTATACCTCAATCTCTAAAAACTAGATTGTACAACCAGTGCGTGTTGCCAGTGATGACTTACGGATCTGAGACGTGGTCCTTCACTGCTGGCCGTATGAGGACGCTTAAGGTCGCTCAGCGAGCTATGGAGAGGGCTATGCTCGGAGTTTCTCTGCGTGATAGACTCAGAAATGAGGATATCCGCAGTAAAACCAGAGTGACCGACATAGCCCAACGGATTAGTAAGCTGAAGTGGCAATGGGCCGGCCATATAGCTCGAAGAACCGATAACCGATGGGGAAGAAAGGTTCTCGAGTGGCAGCCTCGTACCGGTAGGCGTAGTGTAGGGCGACCCCCCACTAGATGGAGTGACGACCTGGTAAGACATGCAGGAAGTCGATGGATGCAGGTGGCTCAGGACCGTGCTTTGTGGCATTACTTGGGGGAGGCCTATGTTCAGCAGTGGACTTGTGAAGGGCTGTAATGATGATGATAAGAGAAAGAATGATTACCCTGTAAAAGTAATTAGTAATTACATTACGATAATCGTATTTTTGTAGTAAAAATTTCTTTATATACATCTCCATAAAAAAACGTCCCATATAAAAATCGATCGCCCGCTACTGTTTACTGAGACAAAAAAAGCAATAAAAACTTATTATTTATTAATTTAAGAGCTTAAAAGAGTGTATCACAAAATAATACAACTGAAATCGTCAACTTACCAGTTTTTACACTTTTCTTTGTATAAACAGCAGAAATATTTGAAATTGATGAACTAAGCTCAGGCTTTTCTCCATCGACTGCAAGCATGTCCAACATTTTTCGTGATTGTGACATCTTTTAAAATATGTTTTTCAAGCAAAATACTTGATAAATAATTTTTTTCAACAAAACGAAAAAAAAGCTAAGTGAGTGATACAAAAACGCCTTTCCTCCAACAAACAGCGGCCGGAATGACGAACGGACGGGGCGCCCGCGCTTCTTCCGCTCCCCGCGCGTCGTCGCTTGATCACTTCGTGCATTTTTATGCGAAGCTTATGGCAGATCGAACGTTATTCGATTCTATATTTCCGAAACTAAATAAGATACGAAAATTCTAAAAACACACGTCTGTAGAGTTTGTATTCAATAACTCGTCTAGCACTTTAACTCGTTTTTGTTCCATGATCACATCGGACTCTGTTCTACGGATAAGTCGATATATAACTTTCTCACTGATAATAATTCACTATATTGATAGAGTTCCGCTGTGGGAAAACTGTACGACTTAGATTACATAACCTTTAGTAAGCAACGTTGCGCTCTCTCAACTTCAAGAAATTTTGTTTTTGTAGCACCAACCCATATGTGGATACAATATCCCAGTACTGACTGAACTAATGCAACGTATATTTGATTGATAAGCTTTTTATTGGTTACATATCTTAAAGATTTAAAAATCCACATTAACTTTCTGATTCTGTTATTAATAAAATCTATGTGAGGATGCCAAGATAATTGTTGGTCAATTATTATTCCTAAGTACCAGGTGCTGTTGACTTTCTCTATTTCAGGACAATTGCAGTTATACATGGTTTGGTTGTATGTATTTTTAGTTTTAGATCTAGGTTTTGGTGTTTTTTTACTTTTTGAAAAGCATATATAGTTTGGTTTGGTTATATTTAATGTAAGTTGGATTGGAGCCAGTTAAACACCTTGGATAACCCGGATTGTGCAAGTTTATATTCTGTATCCCAAGAAGTCGCCATAAAAAACAGTGCAGTATCATCAGCATATGAGGACACGAGACCACCATCTATATTTATATTACAAAGCTCATTTATGTAAATAAGGAATAAAGTCGGGCCTAAAACGCTGCCTTGTGGAACGCCAAAGGAGATCGGTAGCTTCTCACTTATATAATCATCAATTTTTTCACTCTATGGGTTCGACGAAACAGGTAGTCTCTTAACAAATTAAGTGGTGTACCTCTCACGCCACAATGTTGTAACTTTTGTATGAGGATGGGCAAAGAGACTGTATCAAATGCCTTTTTTAAATCGAGAAAGATTGTTGTACATTTTTTCTCACTATCAAGGCAGTCTGAGACTCGAGTTGATAATGCTAAGACAGCATCATCTGTAGACTTTCCTTGTCTAAACCCAAATTGTGAATCAGATAGTATATTGAATTTGTTTAGAAATTTTAAGAGTCGAGTGTTAATTAACTTTTCGATAATTTTAGATATAGACGGTAAAACAGAAATACAAAAACCTTTATTTGTGTTTGATTTGGTAAATTATTTTTAGCGCAGTATTGGCGTGAACGCATAATAATAAAGTGCTTAAACGTGATTACTATATTTTTGTAGAACTATTTTATGTAAACTCAATCAATAAAGGAATCTAACTTAATTTTATACGAATAATTATTTTTAAACACATGTATTAACACTTACGTTTTACATATGTAATATTCGTACAAGTCTCTACTATATATTTGACTCATATTTTGCTATGGGGTAGTTCGTTAGATAATAATAATAAATAATAATATAAATCAAAATATATATAAATCAAATAAATATAAATCAAATATAAATAATATAATATATATATATCTAATAAAATAATAAATCAAAATATCTGGACCTGGCTCACGAGGTGACCGACATGTGGGGTGGTCTGCCGACCGAAATTATTCCTGTAGTCGTCTCTGCGAATGGGCTAATCCCAGTTAGCTTCTCTGGTCATCTGTGGCGACTGGGACTCCGTACACCCTCCGGACTCAAATGCAGAAGGCGGTGCTTCTCGATACTGCCCGCATCGTCCGCCGGTTTCTTTCCCTTTCCCTCTAACCCTCGGCCGTTTGGTCTCCCCTGCCGAGGGCTTCCATCTGGTTGGGTTTTTATTTATTTATGTATTTTTGTATTTATTTTATTTTATTGATATTTATGTATGTTTATCTCTTCATTTTCATTTATAATTGTATATTTATACAACCCAACCAGATGAGAAAACTATATAGATACCCCCATATAAATAATAATAATGGTGATGGGTGATGGAACATAGAAGGACGCGCAAAGAGTCGTTGCTTGGAGGTCACCAGGGCACGTCTGGAGCTGGCACTGGATGCAGCAGGATGCGAACTGCCAGCCGAGCGCAATGTGCTCCACGACCACCAAGCCCTACCAGCTGGCTTGGTGTCGGCAGGGTCTTCGTGGGCCCAGCAATTGGCACAAGCAAATGGTGAAGTAAGCCGCACTGGCAATCTGTCGTATTATAGGCACCAAACTTTCCACGACTGGGCGCACTACTGGACAAAGTAGTGCTATCCCAACCTGGAGAATAAAAATTGAAGAACGTATCGCAAAGACTAGGGTCCTCATCGGCAAACTGATATGCTTCGGGTCAGGCAATAAAAGGCCAAGGATTGTGTGCACCATTAGAATGGCGTTTGCTGGGACAAATGTCAGTTTGTCCCAGCCGGATATAACGGAGCGTACAGACGACCTGAAGCAGAGATTCGCTGTTTGGGGAAAACGGATTCGGCGATATACTGAGAGGACGACATGGTTCAACCAGTATGGTTTCTTCCAGAGTGATCAAAAGAGGTTCTATAAATCATTGGAGTACCCAATGGTACCTACGTGAAACGGGCCCAGCACCAAATCAGGCCGATACTGTCGCATTCTGGCGCGGCCTGTAGTCAGAGCCTGTAAACCACATCGAGGGCCCTTGGATGGAAGCTGTGGCGAGTCAGTGTGCGCGTATTACGCCCATGGACCCCGTCACTATAACGCCGGATGACGTAGCTAAGGCCGTCCTTAGGGCCCTGAACTGTAAAGGTCCAGGACTCGACAGACTGCATCACTACTGGATGTAGGGGTTTGTGTGTCACGCTATGCTCGCCCGACACTTTCAAGAGGCTCTCAACAAGAATCGCTTCCTAACCTCTTCACTACTGGGATCACTCATTTGGTTCCTAAGGACCAAGGTACCACAGACCCGAGCAAATACCACCGCATCAGGTGTCTACCGACCATAAACAAGCCGCGATGTCGCGCGCTCTAAATGAATATCGGGTACAAAACAGGCCATTCATGGGGGGAAAAGAAACACGGAACTCACCCGCCCGCAAGGAAAGGCATTCGTATCGGTGCCCCATACATGGCTAAAGAGGATCCTCACGCTGTAAAAGATTGACTGTACAATAAAAGACTTCCTCGAGCAGCGTATGACAGCTGCGGATAGCTGCATAAGGATAAGAAGGGGTATTTTCCAGGTCAATCGTCTGAGTCCGATCTGATTCTGCCTCACTTTGAACCATCTCAAAATTTTACTACAGTGCTGCGGGAGGGGATTTCATCTTCGGAAAGGAGGAGGAAGTACAAAAGTGATACAGCTTTTCTATATTCTTCTTAGACTTCTAGTTTTTACCAGTTATTCTATTAATCACCAGATATTTTTCCGGACCGATACGACTTAGGGGCGTTTCAAGAAAAGAGCTTACTCCTTTTTAAATGGCCGGCAACGCACCTGCCCTGGTGTTACAGTTGTTCATGGGCGGCGGTAATCACTTACCATCAGGTGGCCATGAGCTCGTTTGCCTCCTCTCTTATAAAAAAATAGTAATTCTATTGGAATGTAGCTGAGAACGGATAATTGTGCGGTCCTCCATGTTAAAAGGGGAAGCGTTGCTAGCTCTGAGAGCTTCAATTTATCTACGTTCGTCAACTTAAAGACCTTTTAAGTTGACAAACACTTACAACAAAGCAAATATGTCATTAGCTTTGTTATAACTTTTCTTAGTACAGTACATACTATTTTTGTTTATTAATGGAATTGACTGGCTTTCATTGATCCAACATTTCGTCAATACATATATATCGACATTTATATTGTTCCGTACTGAAACAGATTATTTATATATCATGTTAATATTTTCTCTTTTCGTATATATTAAGTACAAGGCAACACAATTTTGAAAATAGTATTTTTCTGTATTTCTATTAAGTTCATTGGGTTGGCGATCAACTGTTTTCATTCTGAATGCAACCATAATTTTGCGAGTTATGGCTCTCTGTGCGACACAAGCGCCAAATCAATTAGCAACAATTGTGAATAGTTTAATTAAAACCACTGACGCGCACATATTCGTTGCTCAAGCTCAATCTCTCAAGATCTCTTTAACTCCGAAAGTATTGACCTTGTGGCCTATGGACTCTTGTGCGATACATTCTGCTGAACTTTGATATTACGATTTGATCAAGAATTTTGATTATGATTTTCATTCTTTCCAAAGTGAAATAGGGTAATTTTACCATTATGTTGGGTTTTGTGCCCTAAAACAACTTATGGGTATTTTTCTACACTGTATTTGATATCATTAGAAAGGTACTGAAGTAAATGTTTAATTAGCGTATGTATTTTTTATATTTATTCACAATCTTGAAAAAACCTACCTCTACAAAAAAGTCAAGCTATGATTTTATGGCTCTCAACTGTATTTGAACTTAAATATAAAATTAGGATACTCTTTTAAAAACAAACCCGTACAAAATTTAACCAAAGCAAATGTGCTCCACAGTTTTGTGCAGTATGTATGTACTTGTTTGTTTAGCAAGCGTTGACTTTTGATTACAATTTTAGTTAAAATTTCTACTTTGAGAACTTCAACTAAATTGTAGAAGAAAAGTTGATTATAACTTTTTGCCGCAAGTTTCGACCGTTGAGAATAGTTGCTTTCAAAACATTTAAGCTACGTGAATTCTAAATTAAAATATTTCAAAAGATCCAGGAACTAGAAATTGGTGGAAGTTACTTTATTATTTAATTTAACAAAAGAGCGCATTG